TAACCAGACGCAATGCAGTTACAAATTAGAATGTTTAGTCACTTCGGTAATAAAATTACTGACTTTACGTTTAAACAATACGCGAAAAAATAATTAAGCCGGTATGGTGTTATACGCCTTACTCTGAGTGTACATACGTTTATATACCTACAAACGAGTAGATTATTTATTGTAGTGGAGAACTGTAAACCAATTTGTAAATACGCTTAAGGACCTTATTCATCGAAGCGTACTCATAAAGTGTAGATTTCTAGGAAAACTTGTTTTGTAAGTTTAAAGAACAATAACACTATCGTACATGACCTAGAATAATTCATGCTGTCTGCACAACTAGTATCTACACTACACGCGTTCATATTAATCCAAAGAAGATACTATATCACTTACTATAAGCGTGAAACGTAATAGCATCGATTAGTACGTACTACCGTCTGTGTGTTTTTTTTAATTGAGCAATTTCTTTGTACGCAGTAATTTTTATAATTATAAATTATCATGTTAATGGTCATATCGAACGATAAGGGATGACTAATATGAAACGTTTAAATAGTCATCTTTATTTAGATAAAGCGAAATATTAATTTCAATATGTTTATTGAAGCATTAGATAACACATACAATTTATTAATGGAGTTCCAATATTTACAGAAATACGAGATTTTGAATTGACCTAGTTTTGATAATTTTTAAGCATCAAATAATCACACAAAATTAAATTTACACTATTTTTCGTGAGAAATCGTTAAGAAGCTGCGGTAGCCCTACCACCTCTTAACCCGGGACCTTTGAGTTTCTCGGAATTTATGTGCGAAATTTAATATGAAATTTCCCTTAGGCTTTTCCGGTGAAGGAAACCTGCACATTGAAGAAGGTTTGAATGGGTTGTAAACCGCTAATGTGTCGTGACGTCAAATAGACGGAAAATAGAATACTCCGGTCCACATAATTTACTTCATAAGTAAAATCGAAAGAAAAAGAAAGGCCCGAAAGGGCCGAGTTATTAGGTTACATTATTTTTAAAATTGGAACATGAGTTAGGTTCGGAACTGGTAAAAGGACCAAATTAGACGAGCAGCACTGCTCGCTTCAGCAATTGAGCAGAGAGTGACGACGGAACCAAGCAAAATAAGAATGACGAGGCAAAGGAATTAAAGAGCGATTCAAAATTTGAAAACAAGTGGCCAGGAACCAGAGAAAAGGTGATAAAATGGTGGGATAACGATGGAAGGAGGTCACATCGTCACAGGTTCACAACCCTCGGAAAACGTGTTAAGTCCCCAACCCGCAATGCCAGCGTGGCGTACTATGGCCTGAACCGTGCCCAGCAGCGAGACGTAAATAATGGGTTAATTAAGTTTTTTTCGTGGTAAATATCATATCAGTATAACTTTACTTAAAGATTTCATCACATGTAAACTAAATAATGAGGCGAAAAATAATATGACAGCTCCGTATCAATGGACGAAATGAAAAATATTAAGTGAATAAACAAAATAGAATATTTATTATGTAGGTACTTCAATATTTTAGACGATTATAAAAAAAAGTAAGTTGACGTGAGGGTATTTATTTGTTATGAACCTATGAAAACCTTTTAGTGTTTTAATTGCGCAGTTTTAGTGAAAACGGTTACAAACTAGGAAATTCCATTAAGGAAAGTTCGTTTAACAAATTAGTAATACCGGGAATCGAGTCCGGTACTTCTCATCCAGCGCACAGTGTTAACATCTGAGCCACAAGGTCGTCGAAAAGTCAGAGATGTTATATATGTAGAGATTTCTAAATAAGTATCATCATAAATTTTACACAATTTTTTCAGTATTAAAAAATGTTCGTAGCGACAAAGGTCATTGGGGAAACAAGAAATCCGACGAAATAAACGTACGGGCGTTGGGCCAGATCTTTTATTAAGGTTACAGCAATAAACTGAGTTAACGCGCTTAGTGACAACGGCACTTAACACTTCGTACAAAGAAATAATGATTATAAATATTGAACAGTAGGTACCTAATACCAATAAAAGTAATCAAGGCTTTTTACTTTCAGATTTTATCTGGGGGTCTACTGTCGATCTCCGTCCGACATCCGTCCGAAACAATTACTGTCAAATAAGTAATATTCGACAAAATTAAAAGACGAGTATCCGATATGAAGCTTCATTCGCATCACGCGTCTTTTCATTTGGTCAAGTATTGCTTATTTGGCAGTAATTGTTTCGGACGGATGTCGGACGGAGATCGAGAGTAGACCCCCTGTTACCAACCATTGTCAGAGAAATGAGATCGAAAATATTAAATTCGATCGAATATATTAATTGCCTCAGTGGCCGAACGGTTACCACGCTAGTCTACCTCGCAGAGGTTCCCGGGTGCGATTCCCGGGCCGGGAGAAATGTTTGTACGGCCTACATTCTCTCGTGATATTGGGTGCAATTTGTGGTTGTTTACGTGTGTGTCCATGGTACTCGCGATACAGGCTGTACGTTATTATTATTATTATTATAATAAATACGTACAATGAATAAAAACGACTATATCATTAAAATATCCAGTTTTATCCTCCCGTAATTTTTGTGAACAGGGAATTCGTAAAGATCGTCTATTGAGTTCATTCAATTTATAGGTACCTACATAATATTGGTGTAATTAAAACGATCTGTACTGTAGTAACAAGTTTTTCCTTATACTTTTTTGTGATTACAACAATCCCAGTACAGCTGACAAAAACGCGAAAGCATATATTGGTGTAAAAAAATTAATCCGTTTACGAATATTTAAAATCTTTTAACCTGCTCGGAATTTTCAACGACGTTCAGCGCAAACCGCTTAAGGGCGCGTTCCCATTGTATCGTAACGTTTTATTTATTGCTAGATGACTGTCGCGTCTAGCCTGTTCCCATATCACGACTATCTGTCGTGACTATGCCGTGGACGTTTATTTTCTCGTTGAACGACGGTCGTGTCTAGTTGTTCTCACTAGATCATGACGACAATTTATCGGTTCACGACAGCGGTCTTGTCGTTTGGACGATAGAATTGTCTGAAGCTGCGATTGTCTGTCGTCACATTTTTGTCGTGACGTTTTATTTATCATCAGACGACTGTCGTTCTAACTCTCCCCATTATCACGACTGTCTGCGTCGTAACGTCAAGAAAGTCATGAAAGATAGTTAGTTAATCGTGTTGTTCTTTGTGTGAACAACTTCATTTAAATACGACATAATGGAAACGCGCCCTTACGTACGAGTCCTAGGTACGTAAAGCGGTTTGCGCTATGTTTAGTATTCATTCGCCCACTTGCGTTTTTGACATTGTGTTATATTACACATTTAAATAAACCTAAAATAAAAACTAATAAAAAGCGGTTAAATTTGAGAACCTTACCATATTGATCAGATTTATTTACACTATACTACAGATAAATAAATAATAGAACATGATATTCCTAGCATTTCTTAATAATTCAACACACGCGTAACGTCAACGCGGAATGTATTAGGTGCAACGTAGCATGCACTAAATATATATATAATTCACGTAGCTACCACGTGTACGTCGTGAATACAACTATGCGTAACGTAATCTACTGTTTGACGTTGGAGGGATGAATAACACTCTACATCAAGAATTTGCTTTGGCAGTACTGCTTGATTGCATCTGCCTTTTATAAATGAAAGTAGAGCTGACAAAAACTTTTACAACTTTTTGAGAAATCCTCTTTGGTACGTAAATTTATTGATATCGATGTGGAATATTGACCTTATTGAATACATTGGGCAATCTTACTTGTACACTCTAAGTAATTAGAACACAGATTTTCGATGATGTCCAATAGAGTACTGAATCACCGACATACTAATAAACTTTACGATTTCGGTGTTCGTAAATGTTCGTAAAGAGCTCATCGATAATAGCCGAAGGGGAATTTCCATTTGAAAAGGAATTACGCCAGAAGCGTTGTTACTAAGTGTGACCGCAACATGTCATTTGAATATATAAATGGAAACGTAACACTCGTAGATAATAACTTGCGAGATATACGTATATATTTAAAGCGTGGTGTAGGCTACTCGGCTGTTTGGGATTTTACCCAGGTGATTGTCGCCTCGCCGTCGTCACAGCTATGGGCAACGCGCCAATCGATTTCGTGAAATTACCTTCGTTTTGTGTCAAGGGTCTGTTTGTTTTATATACGTAAGGCGACTCATCAAGGGAAACGACAAAAAGATAAAACAGTTCAGCAAAAATATTTCAATTAATGATATCTATGCATACATCGTTGATTATATTGTGGCAGTTGTAGGGTGGACTCACAACAAAACATGCACAACAATAGAATATAAAAAAATGATCCACGTGATCTCTATTACCGATAACACAAAGTACTTTAAGTCGTTGATATTCGTTATAGTATTAACTACATTAACGTATATTTTGTTACACGGTTCGTTAACATCATTAGGAAGAGTGAGGTCACAGATGTATGAAAGCTCATACAGTCAAAATGTCAAGGACACTGTTACAACGTTCCATGTTTTATGGGTTTATCGAAATGTTATTGCGTATTGAAAAAGAGGTCAAAAAAAATAAGTTTGAGCCTTATTTATATGCGCACGATGCTCGGATAAACACACCTGCACTAAACAATAATAAAGATATTTTAGTAGCAGTAGAGCTCCTTGTGAAAGAGTTCGTCCAAAGAAGTACTGCCACCCTATCTATTTCTGCCGCCAAACAGTAATGTCACCATTACTGTGCTCCGGTTTTGAAGGATAAGAGCGCTGGTGAAATTACAGGCACATGGGACTTGTCAACTTATGTCTCAGGGTGACGGGCGCCGTGGTAGTGCCCCTCAGATCTTTACAATTTAAAAGCTCTGAGTGGCACTGTAACTGTTATGGACAGGAGTGTAGCTTACCATCAGGCGCACGACTTGTTGCGTCTCATCACTTGATGTTAAAAAAAAGATTAAAAAATCACTAGAAACTTCATTTGTTACAGGTGAAAAGAGAATAAATAGACTTCACGATGGCTGCTGCGGCACATGGGAAGGTAATAGAAGGTGAGTGTAAATTTTAAATGAATTTAAATTGTAAAATATATATTAATCGACCCTTTCCTCTGTAACCGTTGTATCTAACCTTTTTGTCATAATTAAAATGAAAGATTGGAGGCTAAATAATATCGTACGTCTTATACGATATTGTTTAGCTTTCAACAGGGAACATTCTACATTTGCCGTATGTCTACATGTCTACCTTTTCAATTGACACGTAAAATAACGTAAAGGCAAACCGAGGCATTTTTTATGTATTTCTTAGGGCAGTCGTAGTTAAAACCCTTATATTCAGAGGATTTAGGGTTAATAAACTTGTTTAACGTAATTACAAAAGAGTATTTGGTAGAATTAAAATTCCACTTGAGATTAGCCCTAAATCGCGTTGTGAAACATTCTTACTCAATGTATTAAGCCGTTTAAGTGTCATAAAATTAATAAACAAAGAGCCATTACATTGTCAATTAATTGTCACCAATGACAAAATTATTGTGATGGATAATGATAACTAAATCGGTTTAAATTAATTGTTATTGACGAAATATAATGTTTTTAGTATTTGAGGACAAATATTACGAATTGGTCAAATTAATAAGACATATGAAAGTATACAGAGGAATCGTTTATAAAATTGAAAGAAGGTACAAATTGTGCATCGACAATGGCAGTTCCACTTGGTGTTGTCAAAGATCGTCGTCGATTGAACAAAACAACAACTTCACAAGCAGATGTGTCGACTATTTTAGACGATGAGACGGATATACAATCGGCATTTAGTAGTGATTTGTCAATTAGTAATAAAGCGATTTTACGCAAACCCTTTATAGGTAATTTAGTTGGTTTTATGAGATTCAAGCGTACAAATTTTTGCGCGTTCGACAACTCAATGCCATAATTACTTATTTCTAGTAAAACGAATTTTAAACTTTGCAATGCGTAAATTTGTATACGTTTTCATATTACAGTGTGGGTGTGAAATCGCGTTTATGATATTGCTTGATCTGTGGATTCCACAATCCGATTATTACCTACGTAGAATTTGCTAGTAGATGACTAGTTTTAACATGGTAATTCTCTGAGTATATTAAAGTAATCAGTGACATTTTATAGATTTAATTTCAATAATAAGCAAATTTTAAAATGCAATGCTCTTATGTTCTGTCTCGATTTGTTTATTATAAGTTATATTTTTTTTTTTATAGAGAACCCAAAGATCCTGTCGGGTCCTGTGCTCACGAACTCACCCAATGCGGTTTTGTCCAAGACCCTCCTAGGCAGATATAACGATCTGCCACTCCCAGCAGACAAGATCTTGGCCACTTACATTTGGATCGACGGCTCAGGAGAGAATTTGAGATGCAAAGATCGCACATTGAATTACATTCCTAAAGTACCCAAGGGTAAGTTATGCAGGACACGCGTAGTCTGTCGGAACTCATTAAACGAATATTAGGAAATGCCATTTTATACAATGATACATCTGAATGTCTAATGTTTACATTGTGTTGTATGTGTCGACATACAAAAGGCTCATTTTCGAAATACCTTGATTGAAATAATGAAGTCACACATGATATGTGAACGCATAGGATGTTCTTGTTATACTATTGTTTTATGGCAGAATTGTTGCAGTTAGCCTTTATGACGTCCTCATTAGCAATTGTAATTATTCTAATTAACACGGCGTATTTAATTGTCCGGCCTTCAACGACCAGACAGATGTTGTTAAATAAGATACCACGTACCCCATTTGGATAGATATGTACATCCGTTTAAAGCGAGTTATGGTACAAAAAGCCCTAATTGATGGTTGTATATGAAAAACCGCTGAAATGATAATCAAAAAATATTAATGATTTTGAAAACGCCGAGTCATTTAAGTGGTGGCTGGTGTTACCTACCTGACGACAGCAATTGTTTGATTATTTATAGATACTCTAACTAAACTACTGGAAACTTTATCTCGGCGAAGCGTATTGAAAGATACGTCAGGACTGACATGGACGCACGCGTCAAAATACTTGCCTCCCTTTTTCAAACCGAAGGATCTAGATAACGTTTTTACTGTGGCCTGCAAGCTCCGAGAGCAGGAAAACAGGGACAGCTTTGATGAGAATTTACAAGGTTTCACGCCAATATCGCCCTCAGCAGTCGTACAAATGTCAGATGTAGTACAAGTCATTCATCGTAGTGTATTCCTAGTATCATGGCAAAGAACACGTAACTGTATCTACCTAGTTATGGAGTTTTCAGAAACGGATTTATTAGTAGGTAGACGAAGTAGAGAAGTCAAAACATGCAATCTATACCATTGTAGTTTAGTGTTATTTAGTGTCAACTTTTGTACCTTGTAAATAATAGTATTAATGTTAATTTGTTATTGGTTTTTATCTAGATTTGCCGGTGTGGAATTTTGATGGCAGCTCGACGCAACAAGCTGATGGACACAACTCTGATACATTCTTAATGCCGCGGGCTATCTACAGGGATCCATTTAGGCGCGGAAACCACATCCTCGTCATGTGTGATACCTTCAAATACAACATGGAACCGACGGGTATGTTGATATTCTTAGTCATGGCTTTACTATAAACAATTTTTTGTTGTTGTGAGAGTTGAGAGAAAGATTTTTTTCACAGAAACAAACCATCGCGTGAAATGTCAAGAAGCATACGATAAATGCAAAGACGAAGAGCCGTGGTTCGGCATCGAGCAGGAATACATCTTGTTAGATTCAGATCTGCGCCCCTTCGGCTGGCCTCCAGGCGGTTTTCCCCCACCACAGGGACCCTACTACTGCGGCGTTGGTGCCAACAAGGTTTTCGCCAGAGATCTTGTTGAGGCACACTACAGGTAAATATAATTTTACTTAATTTATTCATTCCCGTCTCCTATTCTAATTGTTAGTCGGTAATTTCACAAAGTACTAAAGTCACAACTTCAATACTACGTAGTATGCGTGCAAATCAACCACGGCAAAGGAAAATATAAAGAGAATACGAACGTCAGGGTTTAATAATTCGCCTTATCTGTGCTTTAGATTAATGACAACACGTACCTCCTTCACAGATGTTGCCTGTTCGCTGGTGTCCCTCTTTCCGGCACGAATGCCGAAGTTATGCCATCTCAGTGGGAGTTCCAAGTGGGACCATCCGTGGGAGTGTCCGCTGCGGACGACCTCTGGGTGGCCCGGTACTTGCTGCACAGGCTGGCTGAAGAGTACGGAGTCATCGTTACATTCGATCCAAAGCCGGTTCAGGACTGGAACGGCTCCGGCGCCCACACCAACTTTTCAACTAAGAAGATGAGGGACGAAAACGGTATTATGTAAGTATACAAGGATTTTCAAAGTGATAAATATGTGTAACTTTGAATACCATTACTGCCCTCAGAACGAAAAAAGGCACAACTGCTGTATAAGGTATGTACCTACACGTAGTTGTGCCTTTTTGTCTTACGAGGGCAGATTATTACAGCTAGTCATTTAAATCTGGGTCTATCATGTATTGTGTGTATGAATTGAAAGACCAAATTACTTACCTACTATTCCATTTTACGTAACGTTGCTTTTTGTATTTCTTATAGTGAAATCGAGAAAGCGATAGACAAGTTGTCGAAGGTGCACATGAAGCATATCAAAGTCTACGATCCGCGCGGTGGCAAAGACAATGAGAGGAGACTGACGGGACTCCACGAAACAGCTAGTATTAATGACTTTAGCGCAGGTAAATACAAGACCACACTTCTGATATATATAGGCAACCGGTACTATCTCAATTTTCTAAAGATTTCACTTTTTAATACCATTTTGTACTATTTCATACCCCCAGATACATTTAATTTTGGCGCCAGAATCGACTAATTCAACTTGTACTAACATCTGACCAGATGCTATATAAATGACGCCAACAATTCTTTGCTTCATACTGTAAAATTGTCAAAATTAAGATTGCCAGTTCACAGTCGACATTTCATAATTACAAGCGGAACAAAACACATAATCGCTAACGTGTCGGAAGTTTGTATAATAAATATAAATATTTTTTTCATGTAGGTAGTAGTAACAAATTTGAAAAAAACAATCCACTTATCTGCACATTGGTAAACATTACAAAAGTAGACTGCTCAAAGTTATCTGTAACTTATGTTACAGCACAATATAAATAATTACTTTTTTATAAAAAAAAACACCTCAAAAGTTCTTGGAATTACATCTATTTACCAAGTTTTATTGAAATCGGCTACCGGAAAGTGCGCGAAACCGAATTCATCCACTAGTTTGCCATCCTTAGCGATGGCATATTTTCGTTAAATACTAATTAAGATACCCTCTTTCCAACAAAAAAAGAATCACCAAAATCGGTTCACAAATTGCGGACATTCACACATACAAATAAACAGTCCAATTGAGAGCCTTCTCCTGTTTTGATGTCGGCTAATATAGTGTGTTTAATATATTGTGATTTTCTGTTATATATTTTAATGCATGTTACCATACAGGAGTGGCGAGTCGCGGTAGCAGCATTCGGATACCACGATCAGTTGCAGAAGAGAAGAAGGGCTACCTGGAAGACCGCAGGCCGGCCTCTAATTGCGATCCTTACGCTGTGGTGAACGCTCTAATGCGCACCTGCATACTCAACGAATAATGCCCAAGACTGCTCTGCACCTGCCGTGTCTAGTTGTATCGACCGCCGCCAACCAATACCGTCAATCACTACATGTACCTACGCGCCTCTGCGAACTAGCTCAGGCTGTTTACAGTCCACTAATATACTTTGAATTATAGGTACCTAATATTTTTGATGTATTACCTACTAACACGATTTAGTAAGGCCTAGCTAGAGTTTTAGTTTTATAATATCAAACAACTATAACAAAACTAATAAGCATAGCATAATTTAAACAGACATGTGTAGAGGTAGTATAATGTAATTATATAAAGGACCACATAAGATATTAAAAATATTATATTAGAGTATATTTTACGAATATTATGTGATATTTAAAATTAATTGTTAATTTTGAAGTTAAATAGTTTATTTAAACAAATAACCACATATCATGATTTTAATAAAGATCAAAATGGGAGATTATTTTACGGAAATTGTCATGTTGTACAAGTTCTTATCGAAATCGGTTTTACAGCAAGATGGCGGTAACTTATTCGATGAAATCATCAGTTACGAGAATAATTTTGTGTTAAATCACGTATTGGTCACAAATATTCCTTAGATTAGTTCTTAGGTCTGTAAGGTACATAGAACATTTATACACGACTGTATTTACGAGAAATATCAAGAATTTTAGCACTAATGTATGTAAGTTATCACGAGAATACATTGTGTAAAGCACAAATAATAGCGGCTGAACATGTTTTATGTATGTCAGCATAGGGCAGTCGCATCATATGGATCTGAATGGTCGAACCAAAAAATATCCATTCATCTGAAGTGGTATATTTATTTCAGAGTGCTCAAAATATGACACTGCACTTTTGGACAAAATGAACCTTATGTGAATGAATTGAAAAGCGCTCAATAATTTTATTTTCGGTCAGTTTGACTGTTCGGATCCTTTTGTATGCTGATTGTATGTTAACTTTCAAATGTAATGGCATATTATTATTTACCTACTATTATTGCATGCGTCTTCGTCGTCGGAATGTAAATGGAGATGTTATAATAAACAATACTTTGTCGTATGAACGGCTTTTTTTCTTGTAAAAATGGGGGCTTACCTTTTTTTTAATTCCAACCAAAACACATTTTCCGAAACTGTCAAGAAGGCCTACGTGCAGTTAACAGCACTTCAAGCTACACACGTTTGTTCGAATATCGCCTCCATGCAAGAGATCAAGATTTGTTAATGTGTAGCTCAATTTACTGCCGTCTGTACATTAAAGACGTATGTATATACACGTACGTTACATACATACCGTTATATTATTTTATATAACAGAAGCCTAAATATTACACGGATAATACTACTCAGGTTTTTGTAGCGCTGCGGTATTTGAATGAATTTTTTTTTGTCATTTCTTAGAAATACAAAATAAAAATATGTTCCACTTAAGGGTGTCATATTATTATAATTATCGTATAGATTTTTTTTTTGGATGAATACGGGAAAGGGGCCTACTAGGGGCTTACAGAATATTTGTAAAATACAAACAACCTCGCAGGACTATATTATTATCATTGTAAACAACATTTTTGTTTAATAATTCATCAGATTTTCCTTCCGTACAAAAATAAAAATACTTATTTTATTAGATCGTAGAGCGATCTAAATCGAACGATGATCAGTCCGATGCCAAAGTCGGGGAGGACCCTTGCCCGATTGCACTTACAACCTCACTTTATAGATCAAGATCTTACAAGTCACTATAATATAAGTGACTATCTGACACTTAATATATATGTATTTGGTAGTAAGGTTGTACAACAAATACTTAAAAGCTCGTTTTTGGTAAATTCATTGCTATTTTAAATTCATGGATCAAAATTGTCGTTTACGGTGCCAGTCGTGTGAGGATGTTAATATTTTGCAAATAACCCAGTATACTGCACTTATTATTAACACAATCACACACTTGTGGGTTTATAAAACTTTATAAAACCAGGAGGGTTATTAATTAACACGCAGGACAATTTCCTCAACAGTTACTATATTTAAAAGTTACACAAACATTTAACGTACATTTAATTGGTTTAACTAAGTTCTAACAATTTAAGTTGATCTAAAACAGCAGTGTATACGAAATGACATAGAAGTGTGTAATAGTGCTATGCAATTTTGAGAGCTTGTTCTCATGAACATGAACTTTAAAAGCCAAAAAATACAGAGCGTCATCAACGATGCCTAATAATAAATTAATTACCAACGACCTTTAGGCTCAATTTACATTGCGGCGGAACGGAATGGAAGCGAATTTTTATAACGATATTATACGTAGCACGTCTTCCGCGGACTTCTTGCGCATGTTCGAGAATGCTCGCGCATTCGCGAAAATTCCGCAGCCGCCGACGGCAACGCCTGGCGAATCCATGCGAAGTGGCGCGATGGCAGGCGCAGTGTAACGGTTTACCGTACGACGAAACACAACAACATCCAGACGTTGTCGCTGGAATGATCGAGCATTCGCGGTAATGCTTAAATGCTCGCGGTAAGGCGAAATTGTCGCTTCTATTCCGTTCCGCATCAATGTAAATTAAAAATTAAGCCTAAATTATACTGCTTTTTTACCATTTAGCATAATGCTGCTGTCCAGCTTTTTATTACCTAAACAAAAAAGAAATAAACGCATAACACAATAAATAATAAACACATAAGTAAAAAAATAAACAGAACGCTATTATTAATGGAAAATGAGCCGAGTAAATATAAGGTTATCACTCGAACTTATGTATTTGTACACTCAAGAAAAAATACATTGACATCATTCCGCTGGCTGAAAATATAAAAAATATAATAATATTAGTTGTTTAAACACATATCTCCTCGCCGCCTTCGGTAGATGGTTTAACCCTTTCATGGGTAGTACTTAAATAGTACCGCACACAAAAATGTAACTACTTTTCTTTGTGCGCCTTATATTGATTCTAAATAAAATGTTCATTGCATTTTGTCCTTTTTAGTGTTTGTTTTTGATATCCATATAAAAAACGGAGTACCACAACTATCATATTCTACATTCCATTTTACGGCAAACGCTGTTATTGCCCATGAACGGGTTAAAGTTCCGTCTACACGCTCAAGTATTGAAATGTACAGCACATCACTGCCAGCACATGGTACCGTTATCCACGGCTTATGTTGTATAAGTAAACGCAACGGTAAAACTTGCGCTGTGTGAGCCGGCCTTTAGGTTTATAAAATACAGCACAGAAAAACGGATATATAATAAATGTACGGAGCGACAAATACCTATTACAGATAAGAAAAAAATAACAATTATTTGCTTGAACAATAATTTTATCAGCGACATATTGTGTACTCTGGACAACCTCAGTACGAAACAATCCAATATTGAAGACTTAAATAGAATTTATATTTATTTACCCGCTATACATTAGAGTTCTTTTTTGTTACAATTTATTATTTACATCATCGTCATAAGTCTATCTGACAGCAGATGGACGCGACAAGCTGAGTACCGGGCAAAATGGCGCACTTTGGGAGAGGCCTATGTCCGGCAGTGGGCTGCGATAGGCTGATGATAATTTACATAGTTTGTTTAAAATGACATACAGTGTGTACGGAAAGTTTTTAATTTTTGTTAGACGCGCAAAGTCCTGTGCTTAGATTTTTTTTTATAAAGCCACATGTACGAGCAAAGCTCATAGGCCTTACACTCTATAGAATACTAGACAATAATAAAAAGACAGTTTAAAACCTATCGAAAACAAATTCATGATTTTACTTATTCTTATTTGTTTTTTTTATTGGATTGAAATAAGTTTTCTTTTAACTATAGACAATAGCGAAAAGGAGCTTCCAAAGCCTACTACTACAACGCCTGAATCGCAACGGGCACATGTGAGTCCATACGATTCTCAGCTTAAAAGTCAAATGTGTCAACTTTGGCGTTTCGGTGCGAGTTCTGGTTAAGTCAATCTTTCGTATGTGATTTTAAAATAAAATTTACGCCCGAAAACTTATTACACACAAGAGCCATATTAAAATGTCTGTACCACAACTGGATGGCTGAAAAATCACAGATAAAGGCGTTTTCAAACTAGATGACACCATACGACACGATATCGAAGTTTCTACGCCGACAAAAAGATGTTATGTAAACATAGTATTATCATATACACACTACGCAGTTGATTGCAGTGCAGTAATTTGTTATAAATGAGATACTTACAAATAAATAATTATTTATAAAAAAAACATTTATTATTATAGATAGCAGACGGTCGTATGTGTACAGTAACCAACTATAAATGGGAGCTTGAACATTGTTTATGCAACACTTGATAACATGGGCATAAACTTTCATGAGAATGGTCGTGTTATATTAACAATTTGTACAAGAAATATATAGTAGTTCAATCTATTACGTATTCGCTGTATTTATTCTTTTGTTTATTCATTACAGTATGTTTCTTGCATTGGAACCTTCAAATCCGCGCACTCACTTGTATTCTGCCCTCAGAACGAAAAAAGGCACAACTGCTGTATAAAGTACGCATAGTTGTGCCTTTTTTCGTTAGGAGGGCAGTATTTGTAAATGTGTATGTGTACATCCACTGATTATCTTGTTGGCCAACATGACACGGGGAGTACAAGAAACGTTCCCATGAAGAGCGATGCGCACGAATTTCAACGCGCTCACACCGCGTAGCGACCTCGTGCATCTAACTGTCATGGCAAAATAGGCTCTATTTATTTAGAATTTACGTTTTAATTTAAATGAGCGTCACAGACGCGCGGGCGGTACTGGTTAGTCTTTGGTCTACGTGGCGACCGCGCGGTTGTATTATTCCGAGGTATTTAAATGTTGTTGCCTAGTAAATAGAATTCAGAGTCGCCAGTAATATACGTGAAAGCATGGTAACTGGGCGGTAAAACTCGCGTCGTGCAACTGGGCGGTAAAACTCGCGTCGTGCAACTGGGCGCTAAGCCTATTCAACATCAAGTTTAGCCAAGGATGGAATTACATTCCACATTAAAGTATTTTTTTTTTATTAATTACTAGTTTTTTATTTTAACATATTTCTTTCACGACCGTCGATGATTGATTCAATTTATTACATAGAAAATATTTCGAGACATTCGAACAGTTTCCAAATGTTGAATTACCGATCTAAAACTTAATATAAGGGCACATATACAAGGGCGCTCATCTCCTAAACCATACTTATTCCAAGATAGAACGGTTCAAAGCCATGAATTTTCACAAGGAACAAATGAAGCTTATAAAATCACTTTGCATTGACACAGTGATAATTACTGTGGTAGCTCAACTCCAAATTATAGAGATTATTATAATACTTAAATTGAAGTGAAATTACGTTATTTCCATGTAAAATTCATAAGTTTCTCTAACTGACTACAAACACTAACTCGCATCAATTATGGTTCGGAACCAAGCTGCCCTTGTATTTTTAGTTTGTGATGAATACGCCCGACAATTAGTGTAATTTCATTTGACTCACTCACCCACAGGAATCGCCCAAGGCCCTTTTTAGTGTAATCTAATTTTGTTTGTGTGAGACCATAGTGACACAACTCGATAGAGCATTTGAGTGCACCTGTTTGTCTGTAGAAGTGCCCAGTAGAGCAGCGGTATCTCAATGAATGGCAGAAAGATTTCTTTGAGAAATAATGCTTAGTGTTTCCCGTGTTGTATGATCTAAGGACGTATTAATTACTGATTTACGTGTAATTAATTCTATGTACGTAAGTGAGTCTTATTTCCACGACACAAATTATATCTATTTATTATTACTAGTGATCGATCAAATAATATGTCCATATTACTTCTTCGTGGGCGGTAAAAACCACAAAGTTTAGGTAATAAGCGGCCAAATATAAGATCACTAATTATTACACAAGTAAATTACAATATTTCTCAATTTCAATTTCACTAAACGACGAGAGGATATGTCAATGTCAAGAAACTAACCGATCAAGTGCTACCGACTGGCTACCTGTTTAATTAATTTATTGACTTTGTCAAAAAAATCAAACTTGAAATCATCTTTAATTCATAGGTAAGCAAAGTACACTTGGAATCGTAAATTAATTAAACTCCACCATATTTATGTCAAAGTCACTTTATATCAAAAACGTTAAAAGGCTCAATAATGCGCCGACAGGTTAACTGATTGGTTACTTCCTTGTCATTGTAATGTTGAATTGAAATTGAAAAACGCTTAATAATGATTGTAACTTTTTTTAGGTATTATTTTTATTTATAAGGTAGATTTACGTGTAAAAAATGGGTGAGTGGCCGCCACATTCTTGCAACGAAATGAAAATCTGCTGTTACGGGATGTCAGATTCGTCTCAGTTTGAAGAGTCCTTAAATTTACATTTTAAATCTAAACAGCTTCATTTAGCTCTTACACGAGTGAAAACTTTATACAAGCTACTGCTAGCTGCCGTCGCATGCTAAGCTCTATACATGTAACTTTATAATTTCTGCTCGTTCCTGTAAATGTACTGTTATGAGTAAATCACGATAACAATAATATAATACACATTACATCACTAAAATTTTTTAAGCTAATATTTACTGAAGCCATAAACAAGATTTACTTACATTATTATTAATATATTATTTTTTTAAAACTTCTTCCTGTTTTAATTAGTACTACATAATTATTATACTACAGAGCTCTAGGAGGTACACACAAACTCGTTAAAATTCTCGTTTTGTTAGTTAAAAACATGTTTGTTTCGAAGGGTAATTTTAAGCTCGATAAAACATCATATCCGGCTAGTTGTGATGAACGATTTATATGTGTAGATAAATTATTAATACAAAAACCTGGCCCTGGTTTGATATAGACGCAGGTTCTAGTCCTGTCAGATCGAAGGAATTTGATAACTTAATTGAATTTTTAATTGAATAACTATAATAAACAAGTGGAGTAATTTCCCATAAAATACATAGTGATATTCAATAAAAATCAATTAGTATAGATAGTTGCGGGCGCCACCAATAATTTACTTATTGTACTAACACAGTGTACCTGTGGTGTTGATTTTCAAGTTTCTTTGTATTGTTTCACTTAGTTCATTCATGCGAATAGAGCATTTTGGCTCCACTGTGTGTGTTATTTTGCTCAACATATCAATTGAACAGGTGAAAGTGACGGGTGACGAAAACGATGGCGCACAGTGAGAGCCTGTGGTTTTCACAGCTCAAGACTGCTACTCTTCCACGTGAGGAGTAATCTCCTCAAAGAACTCCATTAGTTAATTGTCCGGTGAACTAGACGTCGGCGGATCAGGGTCATTGCGCGCCGCGTACTTGAACTTGGCGTAGTTGCCAATCACAATGCAGGCTAGATCTTTGATCATCTCATACGGGGCCGGGTGCGTCAGTAGATCCTTGAGCTGTACAAGACCACCTTCGGCGTCCAATAAGCCACAGTACTTCTCGGCTGTAAAAAACATTATTCGGATAAATACAACTACAGTCTTCCAATCCATTGTGCCAGAAAAGTAAACAAACAGACCATTGACCCGAACATAGACAGTTTAGTGATGGCCAACTGATGAGTTTACAATATATAATATAATAACACCCACACTCAACATAGCCCCGCACTAGGGAAACCCTGTGTCACGGGTGCCATGGACACACATATAGACAACCACAATTTACACCCAAACTCACGAGAGAAAGATATGTAGGTCATACAAATATTTCTCCCGGCCCGGGAATCGAACCTGGGACCTCTGCGTGGCAGTCCGGCATGGTAACCGTTCGGCCACAGAGGCAGTTAAACAATAACAACAATAAAATGGGTTTTGCGATTTCGCTGCTGATACCATTAAAAAAATATGTTATTCAATACTGAGGGTCATATTCCAGAACTCTACTCAATGCTCAAGTCAGGATCTGAGTATGATTTCAAGCACTAGAAATACGACCCTAATGGCAGGGACTTGAGTATGATTTCGAGTGCTTTAAACCATACTCAAATCCTGACTTGAGCATTGAGTAGAGTTCTAGAATACGACCCTAAGTGATGATATTTCATACACGAGATTAGAATTTTTATCTTACAAACCTATAAAAAAAAATTTTAGCATATATCCGAAATCTAATTTTAAATCCTCCTTCCAATCGTTATACTTCGATATTCGTTCGAGTGTGATTAAATTTTCGATTCACTAATCGATTGCAAAAACTTTAATTGAATGATCCGAATCAATAATTTCCGTACAGCCCTATTCAACCACAGACTATTCAAAAATCTGTATTTAAAAAACAACCTCACTTTTGAACTAACATTTTTCAAATAAGATTTTAATGTTATTCAATGAATATTGTTGGAAAAAGTGATGAAATATCTTGATATCCTGATTCCTTGATATCTTGATTTCACCTTGGTGAAATCTTCAAAATATACGTGAATGTTTTACTTACTCCATTTACTGAGTGATTGCTTTAGAATTTTAACCAAACCGAATTACTTTTCCGGCACAATGGATTGAAACAGACTTTATTTTAAACATTTAATATACAATATTTAAGTAAATTTTGCGATAGAATTCGACAAACATGTGATAGTAAGCGGCCACCGTATGGCAATCTTTAATCTAATAACTTTAATCTAATACTACAAATGCGAAAGTGAGTCTATCTGTTACGTTTTGACACCTAAATCTGAACCAATTTTGATGAATTTTGGTAGAGGTAGATGGGCCCAAGGTGAAGGACTTAGGTTAGTTTTTGTCACAAAAAGAAATCGTAAAGGATGTGAAAGTTTATAAGGAGAACAAAATTATGAAAATTAGTATAGTACAGTAAGTTATTTGAAGTACTATTCTACACAGACGAAGTCGCGGACACCAGCTAGTATACGATAATTGCGAATGTAATGTAACGCCGACTTAGGTGGCCCAACGGTTTGAACTGTGCGCTGGATGAGGAAGTCCCCGGTTCGATTCTCGGTAGGATCAATTTGGGTGTTCTGGATAGTAGTACTTTGGAGTGAATTCCGTTGCTATGGTACTCATAGTACAGGAAATTCCCTAATTTGAGAGCAGGTAATTGGTATCTGGTGTTGCTGACAAAGATTTAAGTATCCTGTATTATTATTTGCTCCGGTGCACAGTTGTTTATTTTTTATGCTACACAAACCGGAAAGCAGTGGTAAACGTGAAAATATTACTTACGGTAAACAGTAGTAAGATTGGCAAGCGCCCAAACGGCCCAATGTTGGCACTGTGGCGTGTGGTGGGCATGTAACAAATTCAGTATGGGCTCAAAAGAGCGATAGTTGATATTTCTCTCGGCGTGTAAATCCCACCGTTCGACGGCGGCGGCCACACGCTGCAGTACGGCGTCTCGCGCAGGTTCGTCCACGGTCCACGCCTCGGGACCGTCAGACGCCATGTGCGCGAGCACGCCTGCTGCGTTGTAGCTCACCTGTACATTTCACCTACACTTTACGGCGACAAATTTTTAAAAACTATAAGGCGGTAGGGAGTGAGCACTGGTACACAAAATGACCAGCATAACAGTTGCGGGAGCATAAAAATCATAAAATCACCACGACATGCAATCGTGGTAAAGTTGAAAAGGGCGGTGCAGCTGCCTGCTTTCCAGAATTCATCCCCCAATAGTCTTCTACGGCACCCACAAGAATATATTTACCATAGGGTTGTAATCAGGTAACATACATTTCCCGCCCTTTTTAAGTAAAGACCACAGCATCCCTCTTGCAACGATCCTGACACTTTCATTATTATTTATTTGATAATATTGTATTATAGAATACATTCAGTTATATCTGAACGGTATAGCTTGGGTCTTTTCAAGGTGAGAGTGAATAGGTATTATTTAGGTGTGCATGCTCCATCGTCGACCTCATCGTCACATTCCATCAGGTGAGATGGAAGTTAAAGCGCTCTTATTTTTTAATAAATATAAAAAAAACATATCTACTTGGAAGTCATAAAGAAATTCTATAAAATATAACCTCAATCCCATCACTGGATGAATCCAACAGATCGTAGAAGACGGTGAGAAAAGTTTTGTCCATTAACTGAGGTCGCAACTCTGCCACCTCCGCCACATTACCCAGCAAACCCATCATGTTTCTCAGCAATTCGTCTTTGTCTGGGAAAATCTGTGACAAAAACAAGTTCACATTCACTTTACCAACATATGTACAGTGCATTGATTGACTGAATACAGTAAATTTATTTCTAAAGATTACATGTTTCATGAACTACTGCTCTCCTTATTATAACTTAACCTCTTCATGGACAGTACTGAAATAATACCGCACACCAAAAGTCACTACTTTTCTTTATGCCGTAGCGACCATATTGATTCAACATAATTATAACGCTTTATCACTGACGGCTGATCCCGTCACATTCATAGCAGCACTGCAAACTGTTCTTGCAAATGTTTCTTGTGCATAAGTAAGTACGGCTGTGACAATAGTACAGTGATTTTATTTGATTTATTTCAGCAAAAAAAGTCTAAATGTATACATTAAAACGGCTTTCACCGTAAAATAGCGTAACCCTTGCAGTACAAGAAGACAAATAAAAGTTATAATTATTAATACAAAGATCGAACACTCAGAAAAAATTCCTTCGATCCGGCCGGATTCGAACCGATAACTTCTAGCATACCGTGCCAGACGCTATACCAACTAAGTTTTTGATCGAATTCCTTCGATCCGGCCGGATCAAAGGAATTTTTTCTGTAAGTAATATGTAGTAATAGTGGTAAGTAATTTCACAAATATAATTGAATATCAATTCAATAAAAAAATTAAAATACAGTGAATAGCGATATCTCTCGCCAGGGCTGGTAGCTGCAAAGGTAACTAACTGGGTGATAAAACTTTCATAGATTTGTCATAGATGGCGCTACGACTAAAAAGTAGTTGAAAAAGCAAATACAAAGACACGACAACAAGCACATAGAAAGATTCGTGAGGTCCGCTGGTTCGCTCCATTGCTTAGTTGGTATAGCGTCTGGCACGGTATGCTAGAAGACGTCGGTTCGACTACGGCCGGATCGAAGGATTTTTTTCTGAGTGTTCGATCTTTGTATTAATAATTATAACAAACTAGTGGAGTAATTTCACAAATATAACTGAATATGAATTCAATAAAAAATTTAAATAAAAGTTATTATGTACTAACAATACCAAATGAAACAATTACTAATTTGATTATATTTAAGCAGTGATGAAGGTTATTTATTTACCATTTGAATAATTAAATCACAGTTTGGAAAGTAGTAAGAGAGGTGATTTTGATTACTAATAATACACTGTATGTATCGTTTAGTTATTCATCAAATTGAAACGAAAATTAAGTAATTCTTTTCACCTAGTTGGCGGAAAACACCTGCCTAACTAACCTGATTTTAAGTGTGAAAACACGGGTCATTATTATTTATTATAGAATAGGGTTTCTGCAGTACACATTATTGGTTTATTGAATTAGTAAAAAACTATGCAATTAGAGATTTACAAACACGTCGGTATTCACCGTACTGTCTTGGTGTGCACTTATTAAATATGTGTGTAGCGTCCACAAACGTATCTCAAATAAATCGTTCAATTTTGTCAGTACATTGTTGATACTGCTCTATGGAGAAGCAGTAGGCGGCAACTATAAAGAAAGCACTTGGAATACGCACGGTAAAGCCCGTAGTAGTTTTTATAAGACCCATATATCGAAACGGGATAGCCCGTATTGTCCATATTCGAATTTTTACGGTAAACGCCGTTACTGTCCATGAAAGGGTTAAGTATATATATATATATAGTAAGATAATAAGCAATAGGCGGCCTTATTGCTATGTAGCAACTTCTTCTGGGCTGCCTTAGGATACAAATTTGGGATATGCAAACAGGGTGCAACCAAAGAATATATAGAATTAGTAAGAATAAGTAAGTACACTACACAATAATTATTAATTAAGGTATTTTTTTTATATCTTATTTAGTTTCAGTTTTATAGTTAAGCATAATCTTGACATTTTAACATTACTATGAAAAAACTTTAGGTGTCACTATGGGCGCGTTCCCATTATGTCGTGACGACAGATAGTCGTTCAGTTTTAAAGTGTCGTGGCTTGTATATTTAAATGAATTTGTTCACACATAGAACAATACGTATAACTGTCGGTCACGACTTTTTTGACGTTACGACGACAGACTGCGTGACAATGGGAAGAGCTAGAATGACAGTCTTCAGACGATAAATAAAACGTCACGAGAAAAATATGACGACAGTCCGTCGTGCGAATAATAAGGCGGCTGCTGTGAACCGACAAATTGTCGTCATGACCTAGTAGGAAAAACGGATAAAATAAAAGTCCTCGACATAGTCACGACTGATAGTCGTGATAAGGGATCAGGCTAGATGCGACAGACAAATAAAACATTACGACATAATGGGAATGGCCCTAACTCGAAAGTTACCGAAATGCAATTGCGTTAGTTATGACAAGGAGACCAGTGGCGGTTGGCAAAGATGTCCAATGACTAGTGTGTATAGAGGAAATGAGACAATTTTTTAGGATCTAAGTCGCGTATATTTGATTTTCCAAACAAACCAAGCATCGTTTCGGGGTCTAAACAGATCCCGCTGTTTACCTTTTTATCACCCTCTGTCCTGGTTCCTGGCCTTTTTTTGTATGTATGCTATGCTATAACTCCGGCTGTCATTTGTGAACCGACTTTGATGATTTTTTTTTTTTGTTGGATAGAACTGAGGTACCCAGTATTGGTATCATTTAAATTTGATAATAATAAAATATTCCACCTCTACGGTTGGCAAACTAGGGGATGAATCCTTCGCGCATTTTCCGGTAACCGATTTCAATAAAACTTGGCAAATAGATGCAATTCCATGAACTTTTAGTAGCAGTAGAGCTGCTCGTGAAAGAGATCGTCCAGGGTAGTATTGCCACCTTATCTATTTCTGCCGCCAAGCAGTAATGTCACCATTACTGTGTTTCGGTTTTGAAGGGTAAGGTGCTGGTGAAATTACAGGCACTTGGGACTTGTCAACTTATGTCTCGGTCGGCTACTGACGGACGCAGTGGTAGTGCCCTTCAGATCTTTGCAATTTAAAGCTCTGAGCGGCACTGCAATTGTTATGGACAGGCGTGTAGCTTACCATCAGACGCACGACTTGATCGTCCCGTCACTTGATGTTATAAAAAAAAAACTTTCCAGGTCAGTTTTCTTTATAAAAAAAAAAATTATAAAATTATGAATCGTTCTCGAATTCCCTATTCCTTCACTTTTCTTACGTAGGTTCGTTCAGTCATCACTCTCATCAAATTTCTCAAAACCAGAGTACGTGCTCATAAACCACCCCCACGTAGAACTCTAACGTCACGTGAGTCACTGTTTAATCATATAGACATACGCAAGTAGGCTCTTTTGAGCTTTTCATTACTATTTATAAATAATTTATGTGGACCAAGACTTTCCTTTAGGACTAAGGCTAGGCCACAACGTGGTTACAATAGACGGTTCGTTTGAAAAAGTATACTCGGTGTAGATCCAAAAGAAAATCATTTCTAATGTATGATTTGATGAAGTAATAACATATTTCAACTTCACTCGTCGAGCAGTCATCAAAATGTTTCCCTTCTAGAGGCTTTCCCCACAGGCAGAAGGTGCACACGCAATGGCGTCAATTCTAGCGATTGAATTCACGGCAGTTAGTGTCTTCGTTTTGTCCGTTCGTCCTTTGTCTTCAAAAATGCCTAAAGTATTTTTAAACACTCAGATTCACCTAAAGTGCATGAAGTACATCTAACAGGTAGTATTTGTCTGGAATTATTTTATTGTAAGTTTACAATTAAACCATTACAAGATTAAGAAGATATAATAACGAATCATCGAGTTCTCGATGTAACGAATAGATGATAATTATGTCTGATAAAAAAAATATAAGCAGAAGTATAGTTTTTCTATTACAGGTGAAGCATAATAATCAATAATCGATTTTCTGTTAATCAGAAAAATTACAGTCTTAACGAATCCAAGTAAATTTACCTGTGTGCTTTAAACCGTTCATGGACAGTAACAGAACATGACAATACGGGGTACATAGATCTCAAAAAAAAGTCAACTACGGGCTTACAGTGTGATTTCCAAATTTTCTGAGTAGTTGCCGCCTATTGCTTCTCCGTAGAGAAGTATCAACAACGTTCTCACAAAAGTCAATGATTTACATTGAAAATTTTATATTAAATTGATATATCGTCGGGGATAGTGCAATTACGCGTAACTAGCATTTGATTATGAGTTTCCATTCCGGTAAATTAGTGGCCAAATAAAATCTATAGGAATATACAGGAATCTGTTGTTATCAGTCCGTAGACAACATAAGTTAATGCTTACTATGAAAGTCGTAGCAATGGAAATAACAAAGTAATAACGTTAAAATCGCTTTCCCGTGTTTGGTTTAGTGCAGATACGCGTCTTTTACCAATACGCGAATTTGCAGTTATCCCGGACGACATGCATTGTGCACGATACTATGTAAGTACTATTCTTGAACGGGTTAAATAAATTACGAGCTAAATGTTACCTTGAGGCATGCTAGGAAGTGTTTCATGCCGCGGTTCTCAAGAAATCTTTGGCAATTCTGTGGAGTTTCGTCGGTGACGTTCCACATGGTCGACCAGGCGACCTCAAGCACGTCATCGCACAACTGCCGCTCAAGTCGGTCCGATATCAGATTAAGCATTTTCTGAAACCATTAAAAGACCCTATTTAAAAACAACTATACAATAACAACAAACGTAACGTACCAGCAACAAAGAATAGTCAGTGACAAACGAGAATAACAATTACAATGTTATTATACTAAGAATTCTTTGAAATGTTATTATCTTATAAAAAAGCAAAGAGTATAAAGCAAACCTCCGCAACAGGCCACTATCGTGGATTATGACTTTTCAAGTGTGAATGAATGAATAAGGAAAATAAGGTCTACGCTTCCGAATAATAAAACCATATCGTCGACTTACTTTCTCAAACTCGTATCTTAAAGCACAAAGTTACTGAAATGCAGTGTATGAAAATGGATTGTATGTGTATACAAATTTTGCAGGATGATTTCACATCGCATTTCCTTCATATTCGCACGCTGGCTTACTACCTATTCTTAAAGTAATGCATTTAAATAAACCCCGTTGATAAGAAATACAAAATAAATAGAAAGTTTTGCCATCTCCCGAATTAACTCTTTATAAGATACGAGTTTGAGAAAGTAAGGCATCGATATTAAAGTCCGACTATGTTCGAAAGTTTGTTTAAAATATTTTCAAGTTAGGGCTGGACTTCACAAAGCCTTCTACCCCGGCTTAGATTCGATACTTTTGCTAGCCAGAGTGGAAGTAACTCATGAAACACAGGCGTGTGTAATGGAGACAAATAAAAAAACAATCTCGTCAACGAGAAACAGTTCTACCAAAAGAAAAAAAAAACATGTCACCGCTAACATTAGTCCCTAATAATGAATGTAATGGCTAATTCGCTTAAGCTAAATATGCTGACACAAATAATAAATATCAGATATTAAGTCCAGTTTCAATAAACAATTGCTCATAAAGAACATATCAACAATAAGCAACCGCAGTTTAAAAAAGGACGTCACACGATCTGCTTAAATAATCTGCACAAGTCGACTTACAGAGCTAACGGGAATATACTTTTGTTCAATCAGAGAAAAATTGGATCTAAAAATGCAAGTCCTCGTTAACTCGCATGCATGTGTGTAGTTTATCATAATGTCCGTAATAGTTTATATATTGTATATACAATAAAAAAATGGATACTTCTAGCGATGAACATACTCTAAAAGGTCCAAATCTTTTAACGTTCTATTAATGTATCTATAACACGCGGTCTTTACTTTTGCCTTGTCCAAGTAAAGGACAGTAGTTCAAAGTTATCTTACGTTAAGTAAATGAATTCATTTTCACCTTAAGGAAAATCTCAAGTAAATATGAATTCGATATTAGGTTAAATTTTTTAAAGCCGCTATTTTCAAACCACAGTAATTGCTGCCTACATAATATAAAAAAAAAATCAATAGCGTGTAGTAAAACTAAGTCAATGGAGGGATATTAAAGTAAATTACATGGACAATACAATTTCTTAGAAAATTATTCTGTCTATTGCAGTGGAAAGTGACACGTTGCAAAGACAGACTGATTGGAATAAGTCATAAATAATTTGCGGAAACTATGCGGAAAGATGAACTAAACTATAAATTGTATTTTCCGAGACGTATTTTAAATGTTTTATACATTATACAGTTTTTTTTGGGACTGGGACACTTAGGAACCATTTATTTTTTTGTGAAAACAATTTTAGAATACTCGATTTCTTAGTCAAGCGTGAGCAGTTTATAAAAATGAATTAATCATTTTAATACTAACTCAAAAAAGAGTCATTGTCTTGTGAGGATCATTTCATTATAATACTATTACATTACTATTACATGATACGAAATTTAACTCCTGCATTCGCGTGCACACCATCTTTTCGGTTTTCACAATGCGACAAATATATAACAAATGGCAATTAAATATTCAAGAAAACCGGAAAGCAGAGTATTATAATTATCTATTTTCCGCCTTAAGAAGGCAATTTATTATTAATTACGCGTACATGTCACAAAATCAATAACACTTTAGCGTCGCGGCGACTTCAGAATGTTCAATGTAATATTAGTTTAACTTATTCGTTATCTGTCACTTGTAAGAGCCCGCTGTTTGGCACGGGTCGTTGGTAGGACAAGATCCACTGGATTTGCCCACCACACTAGACAATTTATCATGGGAATAATAGGGTTTAATATTCTGCTACTTGCAAGTACTTCTTAGATTTATCTATTTCTGTAATTAAACTGCGCGTTCGAGAAAAGACTTAACAATGTAAAACGAGCGTTTTCTTAATGAGGCTACAATTTCTCAACATTCGTCTAACAACGACTTATTAAAGCATCATATAGCTCGCTACGCGGTGGCGGTCCATAGTAATGGATTTTCCGACATTGAAACATGATCGTTGCAAACTTAGCTATTTAAGGGACATATCGCACATAAAAAATACTATTGTAACTCAAAAATGGTGGAATTGTGAAAACATGATTTCAAAATTACTGAATGGGACCAACAAATTTATATTCTCATTTATAAATGGACAAATCCATATTATGTATAAATAAAAATAATACGACCACCTCCGAGGTCCCGGGTTCGAACCCGGGACTTCAGACCTCGGAAGATCGATCTTCGGCCGGGTCAATGTAGAAAACTAACTTTTCAATATTGTCTCGGGTGTGGTACAATCGTTGTTTCATATTTCCATAACACGAGTGCTTTAGTTAACTTACTTTTGGATCAGAGCAACCTATGTGATGTTGTCTAATAATTGTTTATATTTATTTATATTAAATCTCATTATTCGCAATAAGATACATTCAGTTTCGGGTTACGACAGAATTTATTTCATATACGATATATCAACCAAACATTACAACTACTTAGCCTGCTACATTGTGGTTAGGGATTTTCACATGTCTTCGAGCTTTGCATTGCATTGTTTCACAGGTTACTTATGATTTTCCTTCATCGCTATAGCAAACGATTGCAGTGTAATAAAGTGCATCAGATTTACAAGTCGCCTTGCGTCCTAGACAGATCAGAATTTAAATGTAAAGCACACTTCGCAGCGCTCCGTTTCATCATAACCCATTGTTCATTTTCACATACAAATAATTGCAGCACCCAGAAACCAACCAGCTGCATCGAACAATGCTGCCGTTTAAAACTAACTACATGTTCCATCGTCATGTGAGCATCGATCTAGGTCAAGGCTGCGTAACTCCAGGCCAGGTTAATCTTTTTAAATTTGCCCACTAGGAACAGCGTAGAACTCACAGACCACATAAATACTAGTAAGAACTACTACCGATTGTATGTTGAATATTTTATTGGGTACGTGTACTTATGTATACTCGTCTTTAATGTACGGACAACGGCATATCATACTGCACATTTTTGTTCGAAAATCGCCTCCAGTGCAACGGAACAAGATACGTCAATGTGCAGCATGATGTGCAGCATGGTGAGCTGGCGTGTGCACATGTCTCGCTGGTTGACAATAAAACTGGACAAGCGCCATAATTAGAGAAAAAGGTGATTGTCTATACGTTGAATATTTTATCAGGTAATTGTGTACTGGGTGGCCCAGAAGTGATGGTCAAAACGAAATGAGGAGGTACAATCTAAAGTAAGTATTTTCAATCGATTTGACTACTACTTCGGGGTCCAGAAATTGAGGGATCAAAACTTATTCAACTTTTTGTGTTTTTTGGGAAAAGCACTAAGTGCACCCCTTAAAAAATTCCAAAAAAATTTCCACAAGAAATTTTGAAGTGATTTTTTTTTGGCTTTTTTTCTTAGATACGCGTACTTTTCGACAGAATTCATAAAATGAGCTCGCATATGTCAATTGCACATAGGTTTTTAGTTAACTATTTTCTGTTCACAAAACTGTTTTCAAGAAAATCTTACCATAATAAAATGTACTACAGAAAGGTGCATCTATAGCCGAGAAACTGTGCATTTTATACAGATTCTAACGATGTAACCACGTGGTATTTTGTCTACATTTACATTTATTTGATTTTTTTTGTAAAAGAGGTCACTTTTTGACATAACGACATTTTTAACTGCTTCCGTGGTCGAACGTTTACCATGTTGTACTGGCACGCAGACGTCTCGGGTTCGTTTCGATACATTTATTTCTCTTGTGAGGTTGGGAGTAATTGTAGGTGTCTATGTGTGTGTGGATGGCACCCGCGATACCCGGTTTCCTTAGTGCGGGGCTATATTGAGTGTGTGCATTATTAAGCATGGTAGAATGCAAGAATAGCTACAAAGTGGCGGTTAGGTTTTCTTTTTATTTTTATTGCATGTGACAGACAATGCGGTCCCTGCAACCGTCATTCACAAACAATACGTCGTATTTACCATAATGTTCACTTTATGCTTCGAACAAAGCATATTTAATGCCTCAGACAAAAAGCAAAGTACAATTAAAAGAGTATCGTCAAAGGAGTTTTTAATTTTTATTATATACTCACGTCCGCAGATTCCCGTAGGCAGATCTGTCGATCGGCACTTGCACGATCCTTAATTAAAAACCTCTCTTCCCTCACATACAGTCATCAGTATTTTCTTACAGGCCTTATTGTTCTCATTACGCACCCCAGCTCTTTTAAGAACACTTACAGTTTGATGTGAGAATGTTCTTCGTGGCCGTTCTTTTCTAATTACACCTTTTTTTTTTATGTAAGCGACACGCCTATCCATAGCAGTTAATAATAATAACGCACACACTTAACATAGTCCCGGACTAGGGAAACCCTATGTGGCGGGTGCCATGGACACACACATAGACAATCACAAATTACACGAGAGAAATAAATGTAGACCATACAAATATTTATCCCGGCCCGGAAATCGAACGTGGGATATCTGCGTGGCAATCCGGCATGGTAACCGTTCGGCCACAGAGGTAGTTATACTCGGAACAGTTGCAGTGATACTCAGAGCTTTAAATTAAACAGCTTTAAATCGCAAAGACATTAGGGGCACTGCCACTGCGACCGTCACCCTGAGACATAAGTTGACAAGTCCCATGTGCCAGTTACTGGAGTACACAAAGATCTCGTGTATGTAAAGAGCTGAACGAACCTATGATTTGCCATAGTATAACAAAACAAGTAGTGCAACTCCCATTTGACGGATCAATGCCTACACGTCACTCGAAGTGGTGGGTTGTCACTATTAGCCACTGAGTGGAGCAGTGGCTCGCTGACAGCGACGAACAATTCAAACCTTTCTCAGCCGCTATCAGCGGGCCGCCAGAGTATTGTCTTTTTATCTATTTATATAATTTCCATTTAAATATTTACCTGTTAATATAATTTGTTACAGTAAACTAATTATATTTACTGATAACTGTTCACTCGCCCGTTAACAGTCTCATTATTTTAATTGCAAACATAATTAGAAGTATGAGTCATAGTATTCTCTTGCTATATTAAAAATAACCTTTGTCAAAACTTACATATTTATAAATTCAACCAGAATTACGAATTGGTGTCTCGATTATGGGAGTATAATTATGAAATAGAAATAAAATGCCGAACAATTCCGAATTTGAGAACACTTGTTCAAACAACCAAAAACCCAGTAAAATTTTAATTTAATTGATGTAATTTTTCAATTTCAATTGTTTCAGTTCTATAATTATTGGCACATGCTATGCTGGCTCAGGCCGTGCAATGCGAGTGCACGAGTGCGAGATAACGCGAATGGGGGCGTATGCACGGCGCACAGCAGACGCGTCCACACACAAGCCGCCCTGTTATGTTTGTATGGAGTTACATAATTTGTGTTATTAGACTATGATTTTGCAATAAACCACAGTTTAATGAAAAAAAATAACATTTATTTTTTACTTTAATATCCAGGATTAGACAGGATGCTTTCTTATTGGGTCTTATTAGGTAGGTTAGGTTCATCAAATTTATTGAAGCATGAAATAGTAAATAGAAGCAGTGGTAGTGGACACAATAGAGCATTGTGAAAGCGATCGCTGAGCAATAATCACTTAGCAGCATGCGCCTAACAAGTTCATTGCAACCTAACAAATAGGTAAGTATACATTAATTAAGTAGTTATTCAGAAAATTTATGTAATTTAGTTAGTAGAAAAACAACAACAACACTAACAAAAACGAAGACAATCGATCTAAAATTATTATTAACAGAAGAGAATAAAAATAGAATACTTCGCGTTGCAAAAATATTATAGAATGTTTAGGGTGAAATGATTTAAAGTAAAGCTTAAGAGTGAGGGGAACTCATTTAAAGAAACAACGTATTGTGGCAAGTTGCCAAAAGTTACAATAAAAGCACACTATTAGTATTTTTCATTACAGAATGAATATTTTTATCAGAGGCACTTTGCAGAATTATTGATTCGGACAATGCGCGTTCACTTTGCGAACTAAGGGGGATATAAGGCAAGACAACAGAGTTATTGCTGGTCACAAATACACATACATATTATTTATAACTTACAGCTATAGCGCCATGATTTCCAAGGAATCGTTTCTGTTTACCGTCCACCTGACAAGCAAGGGAGTTTAACAGATAGATAGCGATGCGTTGCACGAAACCTTCTTGATGTACATCAGCAACACCATTTAGCAGTATTTGCACCACACGCTCATACTCGAAAAGCTGAAATAAACGAACGGCGCTTTAATGTTAAGGCGCGTTAAAACTCATAGCATACGTCGATTTAGTATGAAGCTAAAGGTTTTTTAAATTTAATTTAAACATTTAAACCAAATGAAGCCGAATTATATGTATGCTGGCTATATGTGGAAGTCAATGACAGTATACATGTAATAGAACTTCTAATCTATATACAAATAAACTTGTTATGCTGTATTTGTACTTACCACATCAGTAGGTATTTTGAACTGGCACAATGTGAGACATCCGTTCCGCATCATAGTGTCGTCGCCGAGGTGGCCATCCATGCCGTCCAGCAGAGCAGTGATGATACGCCGCTTCAATGTAATGCCAATACGAGCTTTTTCCTTGCCTTTCACTATATAGAAAAGTGTAGCACTGAAGACAAAAGGCTTGTTATTAAACAATGTGACCCACATGCAATAAAGAAAGAGTCACTTTGGTGTCAGCAGAGGCCATGTTACAGTAAGGTTGTGGCAGCCATATGGTGATAAAATAGAAATAAATTAGTTGTGTCATTATTCTTTTTTTTTATAACATCTTTTGACGGGATGATGATTATCTGAGTTACCTATCTAGTGTGAATAAGTTCAAGTCTGAAATAATAATAAAAATCCAAAAATAAAACTGAGGTATACGCAATGATACTGGACAACACTAAGGACTGTTTTAAATATTAAAAATTTATGGGATTTTAAAGCCTCATAGTCAGAATCACATAATTTACAATAATTCATACAAATGTTTATAATTACCTCCCAGATATTTGAATATGTTTTTCAGATACATGTTGATACATAGCATCAAGCACAATAGAAAGAGCTCTGCCAATGTACGCATTGTTTTCATAACGGAACAAATAGTAGAGATCATTCAGGACCCGAGTGAGAATCAGTGGACGTTCCATGTAGGTTGTAGCCGCTGTCAGTATCTGCTCCTCATTTGCATCTCCAGAGATCTAGTAATAAATTATAAAGATAAATTGATATTATCTACTTTAAAAATACAAGCAAGGCAATGTCTACATTGAATTGTGGCAATAACTGATAAAACAAGTAACTTTAAGTCTTATTATCCTTTTCAATCAGTTCAAAATAGTTACACAATAATTATGAGTCTGTAGAAATAACTTGTGCAATTTACTTGTGCATCAGAAGTAGATAGCTAGTGACTCAAACATCGAGGTACTGTAGACATTTTGAAACAAGGTTTACAAGAAATACTAAGTTCCATGAATATTTAAATATGGACTACTACTGTCAAAGACACGAAGGACTACAGCAAAAAATATAAAACCTGACCCTTAATCAAAAAACCTGTTACATTCATTCACAAAACCCAATGTGTTTGACACAATTAACGTGAACATCACTACACCACTATGACAAGGCATGCTGCTCATAGGAGCAACTCCTTTCATAGTGATTAAGAAAACCCATCTGATTATGGCTTTTACAAGCCGATGGCAGTTTTGAAACAGGAAAAATAAGAATTGATTATTTCAAGTCACCAGTGGACAGGAATGGCATCAGAATGCTCACTATAGAGTCTTAACAGGGCATTGTAGCTTGAACAAGCAAATGTCAAATATTGGGTAGAGAGATGATAAAGACCGTAGATTTTGTCATGAGGCAGATGAAACTCCTGTGGCGGAGGGCCGGAGATAAACAGGAGTTTCATCTCATGGGTGTAAAAAATTCCATACTGGAAAGGTACAGGTCACAAATAGAGGACATGAGCGAAGAAAGTCCTTCAGTTCTTCCTTCTGGTCTTAGCTTTGAACTGTAATTAGTGGTGATTACAATACACCAGTCAATAGTCGCTGTGATGAGACGCTGCATAGGCCCTGAATGAGGCCACTCTTGCACCAATTGCAAATTCAAGTAAAGTCAAAGAATATGCTACTGTAGCTTCTGGGTAAACTAAAGTACAGTAGATCTGTCAGACCTGAAATCAGCGCTCCAAATATGTCTACTAGTAGTAATAATATTTCATGCAACAAAAATGCTGCTTCCTTGTGTAAGTATTAAGGTAAAGTAAAGTACAACTTACCACTTTGGCCGGTATGTCATGTCTCTTGCAAGCTCCGTGATGCGTGCCATACAATCCAAGGAACTCTAAAGGGTTGTTCACTCGACTTACAAGCCCTGGTATATCACAGCGCACTTGCATTTCTGTATCACCAGAAAATGCAGCTTCTTCCAGATTAGATACTGCTGCCCCAGTTCCAGCCAGATTTGTCCCTGAAATATCTAATGACACCAACTGTGGTAAGCTGGTAACTAGTTTTGTCAAGACCTCATTTGGATTTGTATATTTGCCATATCTCTCACTAGACTGTGATATATCCAAATGTCGCAATGAGTGCAAGCTTGCTATCCAATCTATCACATCTTTGGACCATTGTACTCCATGTAGAATTAGGGATACCAGGTTTTTTAGCTCATTCAATGCCCAGATCGAGCCAGCAGATGTACATTCAGAGAGATCCAAGTGAGTAAGCTGAGTCAAAGGTTTCAGCAGCAGCAAAGGGAATATGTACAGTCCTCGGCGAATAGTAAGCTTTTTTAATTTGGGAGCGTCTATTATGCATCCTTTCTGTCTAAAGACATTTTCATCTGGCGATAGAATGTATGTGTTGGTACCAAACTTAAGTGATATTAGATTTTGGCTATTACTGTTGATTACATCTAATGAGGCTTGTGAGACGTACTCGCATTGCACTAACTCCACTTCGAAGGGCTTGTGCTCCATAAGACAGCGCAACCCCTCGTCTGTAATACGCGAGTTGCGGAGCTTCACACTGGTGAGCCTCGTGCGCATTTGGTCGCGGAACAAGTTAGCAATATTGTCGTTCACACGATTATTCTTCTGGTATGCTTGTAAAAACCTTTCACATATTTCACCTGGCAGAATGACATCGTCTTTGAGCTTACGCCAGCGACTGGTGGGGTCAAGTTTCGTAATAATGTTCAAATTGTTCACAATGTAGTTCATGGATATATCAAATAGAGTATCCGGAGAACTATCATACAAAGAAAACATTTCCTGATCGGACGACATTCTGTTCGTAATCGCGCACTTTCTGTTCAAGACGTCTTTGTGGACAAGAACTGCAATGATATCATTTTCTTTAACTTATGTCCTCCAAAACGTGTTCTCGTTAAGTTACTAGCACTTCCGAATCTACCATCGTACAACACTGTTTTGGGGAGGTACCTACAAGCGGAATAAATAAAAACCGATAAAATTAAAGCAACACGAAATATGGAAGCAAATAGAAATCACACAACGCAAGACAACGCAACAGCAATTTCTTGACAAATGTAGGTAGTTCGTTCGTTCAGAAATAGTTCTTTTTGGAAAATGGTTTTTTTTTTCGAATTACAGTCACCGTCGGAAAGATAAAAGAAGCGGTAGCTTTTCATATTAGAAAATAACGCAGAACAATAAATATTGTAGAAGTGGTTAGTTAGCGTCTGAGGCGTGCCAACCGTAGGTCTCGTTAGACCATCATCGGTAATTATTTTAGTAAATTTCAATTTTCTGTTTATAGAATTGATTTTTTGTACTGCCATGTTGTTTTGAAGCGTCATGGAATTCATCATAATTATTAGGAAATTAAGGTAATATTTCCTACAAAAACAACATTTTGATAAAACAATTTCGGCTGTTCTGTTTGATAATAAACTCATTTGTCTTATACAATTTCATTTTATTTTGGAGAACCAAAATAGTACACGTTTCTCAAATGCCACTGTAACAGACACAGTTACAAATACGTCTTAAAAACACAGTCACATCGTGACTCAGATGGTATTGATATCAAAATTGCATTTACGCGGCTTTTCATTATAGTAATAAAATAAAAAAGACCATCTAATATTTGAAGTTCTTTCATTCTATTACATTGTATAGCGCTGAAGTTTGAGACGAAAACGAAACGACTGCGGTCGATCAATGTTATAAAAAAATGGCGCAAATTTTAAAGCATACTTCACCGATATCATACTACTATGGTTTTCTTATTTATGTGGTCTGTGGGTTTTATTACATAAATTTAAATTATAGTCATTTTTCTTTGTACTGGTGGTTTCTTGCAAGTTACATTTTATATATACTGTATTACCTGGTACGTGCCGCTTCCTGTACTTTATCGTTAAATTAAGTCGATAATATAATTTAAACACAAATCGAAAAGACTCGTTGGAGCAGGCCCACTCTCGTATGTGGGAGGCAATGTTTTTTGTTTGTTAGTTATATAATTGTTAGTATTTATGAGAAGTACATTTTCTAAATTTGTGTAGATGTAAAAAAAATAATTTCTGTACTTGCGGATACCGAAATCATCTGTTGTCATTTCGGTATTTACATCCTCTTTGCCTACCATTACAAGGCGAATTTAAACAAACAAGTCAAAGAACTAGAAAATACATACAGACGGTCACTCAAAGATAGATGAAATTGCAAGTATTAGGGACATTATAAATTATATCATATGATCAGCTTATACAGGTACCTACCCCATAACCGCCTGTTGTACATTTGGCTTACTCTGTGATACTTACATTACTGTCATTGTAATTTTAATGTGCAATAAAGAATATTTCATTCATCCATTCATTCAGCTTACCCGCATCCGCTGCTGGACATAAGCTCCCCTGGAGCACACCAACTCTCCCGGTTCTGTGCCGCCCGCGCATTGATGTATTATGGAAACTAGATTCCTTGTCAGAATTAAAACCCTGGGTACTTTGTTACTGGTTCCAACGCCATAAATTCTCACTTTATATCCTTAGCTACTTAATGAAAACCAGGTTTTTTAGAAATATTTATTCCAAACAACAAAAGAACTAATGACATAGGTACATATTTTAACGTCATACATTTTGGTACTTATCTAGTTCTAAAAACACAACAAACTATTTACTTATTGCTCATCAACCAATTCATCAAATTACAGGAAAACAAAATTTAATTTGACATTTAACTACGTCAATTCCAAAATTTGAAATTTTCGGCATTTTCTCATTATACTGATTGGAAATTAAATGAATGACTACATTAGAATTGTGTACAAGTTTTATTATACCGTAATATAAATACAGTAACACAATAATATCCTCTAACTTAGAAAATTATTTTACATAAATTATATTTTTGTACCTCTACAAATTTTCTTAACTAAAACTGATGGTATATAATTTGGTTCTTTAATCTCATATCACGTTTACGTTATTAATAACTTTGGCCATACGCTCATCTATCATACAGTTGTATTGTACCTACATAATGTATTTCTGTGACTTCTTTATTCACTACAATATTATATTACCTAAAAACCTCTTGATTCTATGTGAATACCTAATTTGAAGGACACATTGTCAATGTTTGTAAGAAACACTCCTATTCAATCAATTATTCAACAACCTAATCGGACCTAATAGGAAGGTATCTTAATAATTTTAAAAATCCACGCACCCGTCCAAACAGTGCCCTTAGTCTATAGGGGCAGTATATTTACTAAGGGGAAGCACTCAGTTCGACGGCAACGGCGCTCTCACTGCAGCGCCTCGATTAAACTTTTTCACTGCGGAGAGGCGTTGAGATCACGCAGCCGTAAATGGTCAGCTAGAGGGTGCGCGTGCTCTTCCGTTCTTCGCTCATCGGGCCATTTCACGACCACGTTTGTGCTGGCAGGAGGCAGTGTTACGGGTGGCTCCACTAGTACCGGCAAGCCTCCTTCACGATCAGGCAGCAATTGCCCGATGAGAGCGCCTACGCGGCGATATGTGTATTGAGGCCCAGTCGGTACTGGCTCTCTCTCTCCTAGTTCCATTTGCGCCACCACAATGACTGGAGCGTCATCTTGTGGCACTATATCATTGAGAGCACGCATTAGTACTGGGGCTGTGGTTTGAGGAGGTGCACAAGATGATATGCCACTGACACGAGCATTTAATCTTTCCCATACAGTTGTCACCTCACTAAGACGCTCATCACATAGCACAGGGTTATCTGTAATACACCCTTAGCAATTACTAATAAGTAAATCATTGCAATATTTAAGTTATAACTTATGTAAAGCTAGCTTACATGAACCATAACATTAAAAACAATGAAACAATTTACAAAATCGCTATAGCACAAAAAAGCATGTAATCCGCTTTTGCATAGTCGACAGCCCGCTAGGAACTCAATAACATTCAATATGTTGTAAATATTTAATTACTTTCTTCAAGCCTTTTAATCGCAAGCTTACTTATACTACCTACCTACAGTGTACATACGTACCTTGCAGATAAATTTTCAGTGTACTGGGAATTCCGTTTATCGTACAGCGTGATTTAGACACTAGATCATAGTTCATGGATTGGATATGGTTAAAAGATAGATCAGCAACGCAAAGGGACGGCAACCCGTGGAAATCCTTGTCCAAAGCAGTAAGATTATTATGATGGGCAATTAACTCCTCCAGTGATGGCAAATACGTCTGAAAACAATAAGTTGAGCTAAAACAAAGTTCTTGAGTAAATTATTGTTCAAAATCGCTTTTGCCATATCAATAATGCGCTTTCGTACAAAATTTCGCTTCGCTGGCAACGCTTTATTACGTAAAGAACTTTAGATCATCAAATGTTAAAAACAAACCTGAGATGTTTCTTCTAAAGTAGAAATGTTGTTGTGTGAAATATCCAGAAGTCTTAGATCTTCCAGACCGATGAAATCATCGGGTGTAATTTTTTGCAGCTGATTATTGCTAAGATTTAATCGTAGCAAGCCATGAAGACCCATTAGCGCTCCACCCAAATTAATCAATCGGTTGTGATCCAATCTCAATTCTAGTACACTAGTTTCTACATCAACAAGATTCTGCAAAATAATTTTCACCTAGTTTAATACTTACTCATGCTGTTGTCATTTCCTATCATAATACCTATCAATTGTTTATGGTCAATTCCATAGGAAAATTATCACTAATGGGCTAATGTATCAAGAAAACTTAAAAGCAAAACCATCATGTATGGATAACTATGGAATAAGCAGGTTATTGAAGTAAAAATCTATGTCGGCACCTTCTTTTGTGGGTACAGTGTTATGCAGATTAATATGTACATAATAAATAAGTACCTGTACGAACGTATCTTGTATTCTTTCTGAGTTGTTTAATTTTCTTTTTGTATTTACGATTAACGAATGAAATACAATCAATCATCAGAGATAAAAATCTTAACGGTACTAGTACATGATACTAAGTATTAATATTATGTACATTATACATTTAACAGATAAGTCATCTACCTCCATTTTGCCAGTTATGAAACTGATCTTATTTTGTGAAAGATCAATAACGGACAATCTTTTTAGTCCCTTGATTTCTTGCAGTGAAAACTCAGTCAGAAGATTGTGAGTAAGGTTCAAATAACGCAGATTCTTTAAGCTTCTTAGCGAACCATTCAATGATTTCAGTTGGTTATAGGCAATGTCCAAGTCGGCCAATATGTCAGCTTCTGCAAATTCATCTTCGGCCAGCTGAAACAGAGCATTTCTTTTCGTGACTAACTTTGTATTGTAAAAAGGGATAATATTATTTGATCCTCAAAGAAATAATTGATCTTATTGTAAATGTACACTTTTTTTAAATAAACAATATTTTTTTATGTTTGATATGTATTAATTGTTCCGTCTATATTAGTTGATCTCCGGATAAATTATAAATAGCCCACACGCAAAATAGGCGCCTTGACGTCGAGTTGCGGACACCAGCCCGTTACACCAAATTATAAATGCACTCCATTCAAGGGAACACTATTATTATGTTTAAGCTACTAAATGTTATTCAAAAATAATATTTGACCCTCTTTTTTAATATTGGTCATTTCTTGTAACGATTGATGATTTTTATAACCAGTAATCTTTTGATATTGATCTCCTAATATATCTTGGTTTCTTGGTTGCGCCCTCCATTTAGTATGTTAGGTTAGTATATGACATAGCAGCACCCCCCCGAAGGGGTTCCCGCCTTGTCGTGGCGGGGGGGCTCTAGTAGCCGTGGTCGATTTCATCCCACGGTGAAGCTAAGAGGAAGCCACGGGGCCGGCCGATGGTGCTAGGCTGGCCCGAGGAGGAGGGCGTTCCGCGCGGGGCTCGTTTGGCCAGCGGGACCGCGCGGATGCGCGAGGAGGAGGGTCGCGGGGGGAGAGACGTGTCGGTGTGTCGTTGCCGCTCGTCCTGTCCTCCGCGACTCTAGCGGAGCTGCACCGCTTTCAATGATGCAGTGGCGGCGGGGCCGCGGGGGAAGAGACGTGTCGGTGTGTCGTTGCCGCTCGTCCTATCCTCCGCGGCCGAACGTGGGCGGTTGGCCCGTGGTGGGCGCTCCAAGGGACTCTCTTCGAAGAGTCCGCGCGGAAGCGCGTTAGGTGTTGCGGCGGAGCCTGCCATCAGATCCGCCGCGGGGGCCACTGAACTTCACAGTTGAGTGGATGCTGTCCTGGCCCCCCATGGCCCCTGGGTGGCGGACTCGGGGGAGTTAGTTGCCCAGCATAAAAGGGCCCGGGATGGAAGGCTCGTCTGGTGTTCGGCGAGCCTCACATTCGGAGTCGGGGGACCGATGTGTCTCCCTTCTCGAGGAGGGGCTGCGCAGGGCGCGGCCAGCCGCTGGTGGGGGCGCGGACGAATGCAACAGCGTACCCGTACCCCCACCTACAGCGGAGAGGAGGAACACTCCGGGGGTTTAGTGCGGTCGGGCTGCTCCCCTTCAGGGTTCAGCCCAGTCCCACATAACCCCGGCTCTGCCCCCGCGGGGCCGGGGTATCTGTAAGCAGATTCCCCCGGATTAACAAAAAAAAAAAATGACATAGCAGCACGAGTCGAGCGAGGGAAGCGAGCATGTCGCGGCTGCAGCCGGTGAGTGCCAGAAGCCAATTTGCTGGCTATTCCGAACATGTTTTCAGATCAAATTATAATTAATATAATATTAGTACACAAACATAATGAACATTTACTTAGTTTTAAAAATAAGCATTTGTCTTACTTTTGAGGCCAAACATAAAACTAACAAAATTAATTTATACTATTTTTCGTATTTCAGAATAGATTAAAATGTCGATGGATTTAATTTATTTTATTATATATCTCAGATTATATTATATATCTTATCATATGTCTCAGAGAAAAAGGATCGATCAGTAAAAAAGATGACCGTCTAGATTTTTTGCCTGCAGCTTTTGCAAATTTAAAAAGATTATTTAAACACATTCCTTGTATAATACAGCATAATATATTATAATTGTGTATGTTCCATAGTACCTATATTATTTGTGTCGTCATAAGGTAGTAAGTTACAGATACTTACAGATTCAATTTTATTAAATGATAGTCCAATTCTCATAAGCCTTCGAGATTTCTGCAAAGCCCCGTCTAAGGACTTGATTTGATTGTCGTAGAAATAAAGTGATTCTAGCGAAGGCATTTGCCTCAAATCTTTTGGCAAATTTTCTAACTCGTTGCGGGCTGCGTGGATGAAAACAAGTCTTTTGGCTTTCTGTAAAATGGATCGCTTTTACAATTGAATTTACGGTACATGATATACTTCCTCCTTTATTTTCAGATTTTATGTAAAAAGTTTTCGAGCACTGTATTGTATGCTTGGCTCACAAACTACCATTGATGAACATAATATGTTACGTTCAAATAGTATCAATCAGTGCCTACTACTTAAGTAAGAAGTAGTTTTTGAAATCTAGGTTGAAGTATGGTTTTAAAAAGCACATGCTCTGATTTACTTTATACTTCAAACAAAAGAACGTTTTATTTTGTGTGAAATTACTTTTCTTGTTTCTTTCTCTACAACGAACAGCTGTCCTGGAGTTTTTATTTGCTTTATTAGACTGTCGATATATTGTAACGATACTTACAAGTGGCAATTCATTGTCTATAGATTTTAAATTGTTTGCGTTAATAAATATCCATTCCAAGTCGTCCAAATCCCTGAGTGCCCCGTTCAGAGTAACCAGTTTGTTGATTCCGAGATGAAGATGTTTCAAAGCTTTGGGCAAGGCATTCCTTTCGATTTTTGATATTTGGTTATCTGCTACTACTAAATTTTCGACTTCTTGAATTTCCTGAAAAATCATTATTTACATATCTTTAAAATTTTCCTTTATAATTTCTGACGCAAAAAAAGGTAGTTACAAGTTTAAAGCCTTTTTCTTTGTATCTGTGTGTCTTTTTGTGGCTTCCAAACCGTTGACCTGATCTTAAAGTGTTTTTTTTTACTTGAAGGCTAATTTAACCGGGATGGTTTTTAGCTATGTTTGATAAACGTCGATTCGCTGTTTAAAGATCAGCTCTTTTCTCAGTTAGAGTAAGGATCTCCGTCACAAGATGGGTACATATATTTCCACTAGTTCGATCGTATTTGGTATACCTAGTTTGGACATATGGTAAAAACTACTGATCTTCTCAATTGCTTACAGTAGAACTATCGTGTTTGGGCTCATCAAATTAGAATCGACGAGTTGTTACCTTAAGGTTGTGACTTTACAGTCTTTTTGAACTATTTCGTATCGAGGCTTTTTAAAATTTAAATTTAAGTTTTATTTATTTATTGTCTTATTTACAACAACAGACCCAAAAGGGAAAATATGAATTAATGGTCTAATGAGTTCCTGTAAATTGTTTAATTTTTTCTACGTTTTGCTTAAGGAAAAATAATTTGTAACTGAAAGTAAACAGGAACTTAAGGTTTGTTACTGAAGTCTTTCAAGTTCAAATTAGAAACAATGTTTAAATACTTTTTTAGCTTTCCCAATAAGTTTAGCTAATACGCGGTAGTTACCTGAAAGTCTTCTTCGGTAAGTTTCGCAATCTTATTCCGACGCAAGTCAAGGGTTTTCACATGCGGCAAGTGGCGTAAAACGTGACGCTGCATATCCATTAGAGCGTTGTCAGCCAGACTGAAGTAATCCACCAAATCAAGCCTCGTGAAAACACTTTCTTTCAGTTCGCTGAAAAGAATATAAACACTATTAATTTTAGCCGCTGTTTTTAACGATCTGTACTTTAATATAAATTTATGCTTTTTTAAATTTATGTGCATAGATTTCCGGTAGGTACGTCGTTTAAAAAATCTGACAAAATTATACCCGCATGGGCCAGCAAGGAGAACTACGTTATTGGTTGGCGGTGGTTGGAATGGCTATAGAGTGGAATTGCCTGCTGCTGAACGTTACAACTTAGGCCTTTTCAAGGGTAGTGAAGAGGCGGTATTTAGGTGCGCATGCTCCATCGTCGACCTCATCGTCACTTTCCATCAGGTGAGATGGAGATCAAATGCGCACTGACACTTTATAAAAAAACCTTTACGTATGTATTGCATACCTAGCATATATGTATTGCACACCTAGGATAAATGTATTGACACCTATCTATCACGATTGCAAAAATCTCATTATTAACATTAACATAAAAATAGGCACCCGTTTGTTTGAATTATCGTAATTAAGTTCAGAATTAACACTATTCAGTTTATATAGGTTTGACGACCTCCGTGGTCGAATGGCTCTGCACATCGGTTTTCATGCTGTCGCTATCTCTGAGAATCCGGGTTCTAACCCCGGCCGGGTCTATTTAGAAAAACCTTTCTATATTGTCTTTCTATAGTGTTTGTGGTGCTGTTCCATAACACAAGTCATTCCATAGTCACTTATTTGGAATCGGAACAACATGTGTGATGTCTAATATTTAATTAATATTATTGTTATTTATAGGTAATATATTGGAAATGAAAATCTGTAACCTATGGTATACAACATAACAATCGCGAAAATCTGTGAACTCGATACAATATCATGTATATTTTACGTGTAATCACATCGAAAGCAGCAGTCAAGTAGAGGGTAAAAATAAAAATATTTCTTCGGACCATTATAACTTTGCTTATCGCTTGATAAGTCTACGTAATAAATAATAACTAACAAATAAGTCCCTGTACCATAATATATTTTAACTAGATTTACGCGAGCATGTATATACGAGTATTACTCATATAAAATTCATCGTAATGCAATTATAATACATACTAGTAAGTGTTTATCTAGCCAGATAAAGAGAAGTTTCGTGTCTACAATACCTACCTACTTGTGTACCGACCCATTACCATTTTAATTAATAATGGCATTTATATTGAACGCCTTATTGAGTATGTACATAATAATGTAACTAGAATTAACGTTAGTATTGATAATATATGTCCGAAATATATCCATTTTCACCAACTTGATGTTGTGGTCTCAATCACAATTGATAAATAAGGTTAAGGGGCGACGAGAGGACGTAAAAGCCCTTATCGCCCATTACGCACATGACAATTACGAATGCAGCGATAGTTTGCAGAATGTCGATGTTTGAAAAGTGTTACACATATTGAGCTGAACATGCATCATGACGGATCGAGAGCGTGTAACGCGAGTTTAGTAAACACTAATGTGACAGGTCAACGTTCCGGGGTTATCAGCTCAGAGCCGGCGCCAAACGGTCGCATGGTCGCCCGCTGACCGGCGCCCAACGCCGCCACCGCGTTCTCCATTTCTGTACCATATCATCCTAACTTTAATATTTCATATTCCATCCAAAATTGATTAGTGTTAGTCGCATAAGTAGGCTTGTGTATCCAGACATACTCAGAAAAACACGGTGTGTTTTATTTGTACGGTAACAGATTGTGTGAGAGTCACGTTTTCTTCTAATAAAAACTATTCCCTCTCTAAATTGTTTCCTACAATTTAATTTCGAAATATAACAATTCTATTGAATTTATAATCTTTCTCCTTCAGGGTTCCGTACCTTTTGTTAAGACTTCAGTGTCTGTTCCTTGGTCGCAGCAGTTTTCTCAGTAAGTAGATATTGGTAACGATTTGAGACTTGATAATTAGGTAATATTATTGCTGTCTCTATCGGATGTGATGTGAGTGCGAGTGTGTGGGCGAAATAGCACTTTTAAGTAAATATTTCCGCGAGTCATTTTTATGTTGCTCAATAAATTAAGTCCATTTCCGGTTCTATAAATACCTAAAATAAATGTTTTTATTATGGGTATTTATAGAACCGGAAATGGAGATTTTAAACAATTTCTATATTCAAGAGAAAATTTTTTCAACAATTTTAATTAAGATTGTCAACAATGTTATAAATATATAAATAAAAGGTTAATTTTGGTCCGTGACATAAACGTAGATTATTTGAGCGACAACTCGGACAGACAATGCCTATACGACCTATTGAGCTGTTTAGTGAGCTGTTGTTTGAGTAAACTACAATACATAACATAAAACAAACAAAAAATATTGTCGATTTTCCTACACGCGAATGCGACACTTGCAGCACTTCTTTGGTTTGTGGGATAGTTTCGAACGATGACTGTTACATAACCGTTTCTCCGCTAGATACGTCAATATGCGACCACAATGCACAGTTGTTTGTATTACCTGTTACGCAACACAAAAACGTAAACAAATTTATACGTCAACATACTGTGCAGAGGATTTATTAATTTATTTTAAATGGGCATTTATAATTATAATCGGAAATTTTATTTATGCAAATTATATTAATATTAATGAAAAATATTGTTCATTGATGAGAATATTATCTTATTACATTATTTTAATTACCCTATTTAAAAAAATATTAAAAATCTACTCCCATGGGTGAGTGAAGAACTCAACCGCCACATTACAATGTACAATAATTTCTGCACAATGAAAAACCAGTTTCCACACGACATTGTATTAAATAAATGTGTCCAACATCATTCAAATTTAATAAAATCGATCAGTCTGCGCGATCGTCGCGTATTCAATGATAATAAGACGATGTTTACTAAAAACTCGAGTAAGGTAGCTTGTGAATGATGAAGTTTCAACAGAATTTACCCAAAAAGTGTTCAACTGACTCATAACTCCAATGATTATTTTCTCACAATCACATCAAAATTACATTTACACTGTGATGGAAGACAAATCAATGTCAATCTTAAGAAGGTAGGCGAATGCGATGTTCCCCAGTACAGCCTGCCAACTATCACTCGTGACTCGTTGGAGAGGGTAGTGAAAGGAATGTGGCATACATCAAAAACGCTAGACATATAGGTACAATATCTCTATTAATATATTAATGTCTGTCTGGTCAGTGATTGCAGATATACTCGTTACTTTAATAAATTAAATGTTTACGGAAGGTACCTATACATACATATCCTGGTATTTTGAAAAGTACCCGTGTATGTCCAGTGTACAAAGGGAAGTGCATGTGACCCATGTTGAAAGCCACAACCGATATCCATAGTTCCGAATATATAAAAAATAATCGAATCCATATTAAACTGCAGGTATTTTTTGCGACCTTACAAAGACGTTCGATCTAATTGGGAATGATTTGTTAATTCAAAAATTAACTGTGTTTGTCGTCAACGAAGACGATCACAACTTATTATTTCATTATCATTAGCTCACAATTGTAATTTTGACTTCATGGTATTTAGACAAGCAATAGTTATACTTCTATATTTTATATTAATTATTATTGTTTGCGTTAATGACGATCCTATTATCCCTTGACATTGTATTTTGAATTGTAATATTGTGACATTGATAATATGAAATAAATGATTCTATTCTATTCTGTTGTTTTTTAACTAGATAAAACTTTTTAATATATTAAATTCCATAGTTATTTTGAAACAATATTATTTGACGAGAAATTGCCAACATTCGAATATCAACATTTTCTTGATCTTGGCAACACAATATCGTTGATCAGTATTTATTAAACATTGGTTCACCGTATCAAGCACACTAAAGAAATATATTTTTTTATTGCAAATAGGACTGAAACGTAAATTAATATTTGTAATTGACACTTGGAAATAGCAACTAAGAAAAAGGGCATCATACGAAAGATTTATACATTCCCAACACTGTTTTTACCCTCATTTTATGTTTTAAGTATTGTTTTTTAGTTAAAGGCATTGATAAAGATGTGCAATAAACCCAACTCTTCCACAACACCGCAGTTTAAATATTAAATACCTATTAGTAACCATATTATTATCTCTTACATAATCACGGTCAGTGCATATTAATTACTGATTTATGCACCCCTCATGGACAATGTCCTAAGTGGGGTTACGTCAAAAACTTTTCTTGCTCCATTAGATGCAGAAAAATATAACATACATCTTCTCCAATTCTTGTAATTATATCGACTAATATTGTAGATAAAGTTACAAGAATTGGAGAACATGTGAGTGATAATTTTCTGTATCTAATGGAGCAATAAACACGTTTGACGTAACTTCACTTATGCCGTTCTTCCATAGGGGGTGCAATTCTTATTTTTAGATTAAACCTTACATTCACACTGATAGACAATACCGCTATAAAATGAAACGAAGGTCCGTAAATTAACACGTTCATCTCGGGGTACACGCCGATGAAGAACTGTACCTAGTGTAGATACACACCTATATGTTGTTACCTATAGGCAAGTACCCACCGGGTTTGTTGCGAACATCAGCATCCACATCCGCGTACTATCCCCATAAATTAAAATATCGCATTAGCATCCGCATCCTCATTGATTGATGCTGTAGTCCATTGTGGATATTGACGTCGTGACATTAATTTACAAACCATCCAGATACAAACTGCAAGCTCAAAAAGCAGCTCCACCGTCGTTCTTACCTTTGAGAAAATGTCAGTATGACAAAAGTCACATAATCATTAAAAAAGCTTTTTCATGTAGATTCAATAAGGATCTGTACAGCATTTTGCTGTTTTAAAGTAAGCTAAGTCAGCATCCGCGTCCGCATCCGCTGATGTTTCAGGTTTTTACCTACATCAGCAACAACCTTGTACACATCTATTATGTGGTCACGTTACACTTGACTTTTAATATACTAAGTAATTTGCGCCCGCCGCCGCCGCCTTGAGAGAAAGTGCTAAAGTTA